TATGTTAAAAAGTCATAGTATAGTATGTTAAAAAAGTCAAGTATAGTATGTTAAAGTCACAGTATAGTATGTTAAAAAAAAGTCATTGTACAGTATGTTAAAAAAGTCATAGTATAATATGGTAAAAAAAAGTCTTAGTATAGTATGGTTAAAAAAAAAAGTCATAGTATAGTACATTAAAAAAAAAGTCAGTATAGTACGGTAGAAAAAGTCACAGTATGGTATGTTTAAAAAAAAAACATAGTATAGCATGTCATAAAAATGAAAAAAAGTCAGAGCATAGTATGGTAAAAATAAAAAAAAGTCGTTGTATAGTGTGTTAAAAAAAGTCATGTTATATTATGTCATAAAAATGAAAATAAAAGTCAAAGCATGGTTCGTTAAAAAAATCATAGTATTGTATGTTTAAAAAAAGTCATAGTATAGTATTTTTTTTAAAAAAAGTCATAGATACTATGGTGTTACGGCTGTGTATGTGTTCTGTGCTGCTGTCCCTTCTCCCTCCCTTGTAGAACTGAGCAGGTGTGCTGCATTAGTTAACGAGGTGCAGCGCACCTGGCATGGAGGAGGTGGTATAAAGAGTCGTGCCAGCAGCAAAGGACAGAGGCTCTGGTGTGGAGACTGCTGGTCCTGCTGCCTCTCACCGTGGGATTTTTGTTGTTTTGTTGCTTGTTTTAATTCTAATAAATCCCATGGACTTGAGTGTTTTAAAGGTGTTCATGTGATTATTTTGGGTCAGTGTTGGAGTTTTGTTCGCCCCTTTTTCATATTTATTGCATACTTTTTCATGAGAATTCAAAGTGGTGATGAAGTCTTAAACTTTATTAAAATGGTCTTAATAGGTAGGAAATATATCTTCAGGATTTCAGCTATTTATTGGGATCCTGTAGGAGACAGTAATTCATACTGTACATTTTACCGTGAGGAAAAAAGTGGTGAGGTTGATGACCATGTGTATATATAGTTGCATTCATTACATGTGTGTCTTCTCTCAGTTCCAGAGGGTGGTCCACCTGATGTCTCAGAAGGCGTGGCGGATTGCAGACTTGTTCAGCGCTGTGGTCCAGTTCTGTAAGCTTCATGAGAAAGAGGAAGAGGAGGGCCGCTCTCTGTCCAGCCTGTTCGATTGGCTGCTGGAGACCCTGTAGGGCCCTGTAGCCTCCTCATATTGCAAACAAAAAGACACTCCTCACTCTGTCACACTTCTAACATGTTCCTGTTTGCCTGATCTTGTCTCATCACACCAAGTGTCTCCTACTGCAAGCTGAGAGCACAATGCGATCAGCATACTTGAGAATTTCATACACCTCAGTCTGTCCATGGACGTTGTGTTTGTCTGCTCACAGCCATGAATGGACCAGTCTCCCTTTAATAAAAGCATGTTTTTGTTTTCAGATTCACGTCTCTAGTGAGACACAAACACAGAGCTAGACATTCCTGATGGGAATGAACTAGCCTTCAAGAGATTATAGTCGGCAGGTTTTAACTGCTCCAGAATATATAATTATACATATATATATTTACAGAATCTCACAAAGAAATAATGTGTTTATTTATTTATTTTAAATGAATACATGTGAAGCAAAGAACCAATAGAAGATAGGAAAATCAGGTTAAATCCTTCCCACAACTCAACATGCTCAGAACTTTTGTATCAAAACTATCTTGTAAAAGAGGCTGTTGAAACTGAAGCCCAGAAAAAAACTCTTTCACTTTCTTCTGATAGCCACTTAGAAGTGCACATTTGCTTAAGGTAAGCAAAGCGCCCATCTCTTTGTTGTGTTCATCGGCCAACATACCACCTCTGTCGTGACCTTGAAATTCAGTTTTAAATACGTATGTTATCTCGTTCATGTTACTTGAGAACTGATTATTTTGGATAGCTGTACTGTATATACTGTAGATTTGGAACTGCTGCACCTTGGAGTAGTGGACTGCTCTCTTTAGCTTTTACTATGTCAGGAAGACAGAGTAAGGTTTGTAATGTTGAATTTGTACGTGAATTTGGTCTGTTTATTTCTATACTTAGTGGTACTCTAGTGTTACATCAGCATTGGGAAAAAAAAGCACACGATTCAGCTGTAAACTCTGTCACAATAGAACTGAATGTATTTATCTTTTGACATCAATAAATTTCTGTGATGTGAAATACAAGGACTCTTGATCATTAGTCACATTCAGCAGACAAGACACATTTATCCACATCAGCATTACATCCTGTTGCCTGGTTTCCCCAAAAGCTTGTCACAGATGCAGTGAGAATATAATCCAAAGCTACTGAATAAACATTCAATATTTTATTGTGCTTTCAGATAATACTGCTAAGTAAACATCACAGAAACGTACAAAGGCAGTGGGAACAAAAGTAAAGATTACCTTTTGTTAGGTAGGATGAAACATGGGCAAACATTTCTGGTAATGCCCATGTATGAATATGAGTTAACATAACATTTGGTATGTTTACAGCTCAGACAGCCAAGTCTAGCTCACAGTTACTAAAAGAGCTAGTCGACATTTTGGGAAATATGCTTCCTTATTGTCTTGCCAAGCGTTATAAAAGAAGCATGAGACCACTCTTATGTCTGTGTATTAACTAGGAAGCTACTGCCAGAAGATAATCATCTTAATCTCACATAAAAACTCAAGGCAGGGGGACACAGCTACTGTAGCCTGGCTTTGTCTTAAGTTTAAAAATCCACGTAGCTGATTTTGTTTAATTCTCAACACAAACAGAAGTGTAAAAACAACAAGTTGTGGTCAAATTGGGAGTTATGTACTGTCAATATCTGGCGTGTTAATAACTTTAGAGGGGCTGGAGGGCATATTTTTGATCCAGTCTTTATGCTAAACTAAGCCAAGCGCCTCCTGGCTTTGTCCAAGCAAATGTCCCAAATTGTCAAACTGCTCCAAAAGTTGAAAAGTTCCAATTACTTCATGACATTTTTATGAGCAAAATTCTCATGCTGTTAACGCCACAGTAAATACAAGGGTAGGTCTACTGGTACAACCCAGTACAAATTTAATACAGTCAGGGAACAAGTTACAGCAGGAACATCAGAGAGACAATTACATAATCAAGTGACTGAATTGCAATGGCACTTTGACCTTACACAGATGTCGTGAATTCAGTGGGTATTCCACAATTACAAAGATTAACAGTGGGTCAAACTGATTGCTGTGAGCATGCATCTGACAGTCTGAGCCTGTTCAGGGTCAAGGGAGGGGTCAGTGCCAGATCCGGCATGTGTTATCCTTGCTTCCTGCAGGAGAGCACAAACAAAAACAGGTGGCTGCACAGAAGGACACAGCTGCACACTTTTCATCTATAATGTGCAATTAAGCATTTGTGACGTTTGGCGAGGAGCAGCTCGTTCGCTGCCCGAGGCTATGTTTTAACAGTGCGTGGCTGTCAGATGTACGTGGTTGTCAGATGTGGGACGTGTGAGTGTGTGTGTGAGTGCGTACCTGTAATGATAGTGTCACCCTCATAGTTGAAGACGCAGGAGAAGATCTCGTCGGTGTGCCCCTCTAGGACTTGTAGGCAGACTCCAGACTTAACATCCCACAGACGAGCTGTCTTGTCTGAGCTGGCAGTCAGGACCCTGCTGCCCTGTGGGCTGAAACAGATCTACCAAGAGAGGCAGCAGAGTTAGTGTTATTCAGAGGAGCGTGTGTGTGTGTGTGTGTGTGTGTGTGTGTGTGTGTGGGGTGGTGTGTGCTACATGAGTGATAGAGTAAGCAAGAGAGTGCTGAATAAGAGATTATGCCAGACGAGGTTGAAATGACAAAGAGGGAGAGGAAAATGAGTGAGCTCAGAACACGTTTACCACATCAGCAACAATACTCCACAGAGGTCATTCAACTTTAAATACTTAAGGAGGATAAAGGCACCAGTGGCGCTACTTAGCGAGGAGTTTTTCCAGTAGTGTATTATAAAAATCATGTCTGAGGCTGATTGTGTTAAAGCCCGGGTTTATCGTTCCCTGAATGGTTTCCTATCCCCATTGTGAGGTGAAGGAAGCGATGATTAAATGAAGCTGGCTCAAGATGGCCATGAAAGTAAAGTGTGTTTTTATTAAACTCCAAACTGAGCACCAAGGAGTGACCCCAGACAGGAAATAGAAACTGACGAGAGAAGAAGCTGACAAAGATAAAAGACCGGAGGAAGAAGATGAAAGTGGAAGCTATGATGGGAACAGACATGGAAAGGAAACAGTTTAAAATGGACAGACACGAGAGAAGAAATCAGGAAATAGGAAATGACAGGAAAGAGGTATAAATAAACAAGACTAAAGCTGTGCCGCAATTCCATATAACATACTAATTCTAACCTCATTTCCTGCAGAAGTTACAAAATCATGTACACTCAAAAGTCAAAACAGTGAAACTGATTTTTAAATGTGATGTTGATGGATGCTATGCAAACTAAGGTACCATGATCTTTGGCACAACCGCCTTGAGGAGTCATTATCCTTTTAAAAAGATGACCAGTTGATCTCCCCTCTTTTCTTTTGTAGAATCTGCGTTGGCTTCAATGCAGAGTTAGAGACATTTGACGCATCTTCTGAATCAAAGCTATAAATTAAAACTTAAATTGCATTAAAATGGCCTCATGACACCTCATGACTGCACAAATAACTTCCTATAAGGTCATACACTTACTCAGCCATCTTGTACAGTACTGTAAATGTGCTCAAACAGTTTGACTACAATGTGGCATTTGGACTAAGAAAAATCCTCTATGCAGACTTGACATTTTGGTCTGAGTTAAGTGCAAGAAGAAAGCTATGGTGTGTGTTTTAAATATGAAGAATTCTCCCAGCAGGGATGAAATATTTGAAAACAAAATGTTTTATAAAATTCCTGACATGAAATGCTATTTTTAGAATCAGTATCCACCTTATTCCTGAGGGCACTACTGTAGAAATTATTATGGGTGCAACTTCCAGTGAGATAGTGGAAGTATCAGTAAGCTAGTTAGTCCCATAGACTGTCTGTGTTCAGTCCCAGTGGCTACGCTTGGTGGCTAACTTCCAACACTGGTTCTTTTCAAAAGTAATTTGCCTTCAGCTCAGCAAATACTGATTTATTTTTTAACAAATATTTAACTAATGTTAACTTAGCATTTTCTAAAATGTCTTTGCGGAGCTTTGGTACCTGTTACACTGTCTGTGTCTGTAACAGCCAATCTAAGCTAAATTTTTGTCTTCAGCAACTGAGTGTTGAGAACAAAAAGGGATTGTTCCTGTTGCCAAAGGTAATATTGATATGAGAAATAAAACCACAAGAGTTTCACGAGACATAGAGGAAAAAGTATTGGATCAGAATTTGCAGAAGAGAATGACATGTAGACTGACAGGTCCGTCACTCACCGTCAGTACATGATATCACCGTCTTTCCCTGTCTGACTTCATTCTCAACCTACATTAGAAAATTGCTTGTTGTAAAATAAACTCAGCAACATACCTTGAAATATGTATTTAGTCATTAGGGCTGAGAATGTGTTACTGATTTACTGTACTTCCTTTATATCATATAAAAAAATGAATGCTAAAAGTTATTTCTTTTACTCCTACTTTATATTACTATTACTGAAGCGTGCTGCTAAATTCAGCACCATGCTTTGCTCAGAACAGTTTTTAATAAATCAGAAGTTAACAAAATGTGTAAACTGTCATTAACGCAGATGAGTGGAGGATTAGCTGGGAAACATCACATTTATTCACTTTACATGGAGCTACAGTTAATACTGAATTATGTCAAATGTTTGCCGAATGTGTTAGCATCTTTTAATAAGTCATCATAAATCATCTTTAGAAGGAGCAGATGTTTACCTTAAGATAGCTCGGGCCATGTTAAATTCAACAATATTTTAATGGAGCAAGGCAAGCTAATTGCTAGCGTGCTCAGTTGCTTTGAGATGGCTGTCAGAGATGGCAGAGGTATGATCACATAATCCAGTTTGAGCTATAACAGAGGGTGTGTTCCACGTTTTATTTCCAAATTGCTCTTGGAAAGAAGAATAGAGTACTCTAAACAAACTGTTACCACTGGAAATCGCCGGTTTTGGTTCAACCCCAGAAGCTGCACCCATAATTCATGCAAGGTATCATGGGAGCTAGGAATAAAGTGGACAGAAACTCGAATCCAGGAATTTAGAGTCAGTCAATCAATAAACAGTCCATCATTTATTTTTCCTAGGAAAAGGCAGCAAGGTGAATTAACAAGAGGAGGACCTAAGATATAATGAGAGAATAAAAGTAAAAGCATACAAAGCAAGACGCTGAAATAGAGGGATAGACCAATGAAAACAAAACCTGGTCATGGTTAAGAGGCATGGAGGGGAGGGGGAGAGGTGCCCTGTTAGAGAGAGATTAGTGTCATAATCCTCTGAAATGATCCTCCATCCAGCCTACTTATTACTGACTGCCTGATGTTTCTGTAAACAGAGGTAACTTCTAAGCCCCTCATGCATGGAGACCCTCTGAGCCAGAACCTGCAGGACACACACACACACACACACACACACACTCACGCAGAACAAGGAACCTGGAAAGTGGTAAGCAGGTAAAATCATTCCCATTTAAATACAAGGTCAATGCAGAGTTAGAACACAACTTCTGCCTGCGCATGTGTTTGTTGGACTCAGCTAATACCAGATAATGTTATACCTGTGCACATTCTGTTTGAGGATGTGTGATTACATGTGATGGCATGGGTGCAACAATTGGTGCTGAGTTCAAAGGCTAACAACACCAACTTATGGTCAGGGATGACAGGTATTTGTAATTTCCCACTGAGCTCTACCATAAAAACATCTCTTTTAAAAGCTTGAGAGTAATTAGCCAGATTAATAGAAGCATCACTACAGTCCTGTGTCCTACTTGCAGAGTTAGTTTACCATGTGACACAGTGAGCACAAAACAGCCTGAAGCCTGAACTCCTGTCCCTCTACTTCAGCATCATGCTTTATCCCATGTTAACAAGGCAAGGAGAGGCAAATATCCTATTTACAGCACTGGCCAGGAGAGCTGTAGCTAGACACTGAGAGTTAATTTATTCATTCATTTTCTGTAACTGCTTATCCTGTTGGGGTGCATGGTGTGCTGGAGCCTATCCCAGCTGACACTGGGCGAGAGACAGGGTACATTCTGAACAGGTCACCAGACTATCACAGGGCTGACACATAGAGACAGACAACCATTCATGCTCACATTCACACCTACAGTTTAGAGTCACCAGTTAACCTGCATGTCTTTGGACTGTGGGAAGAAGCTGGAGTACAGGTGGAGAAAACCCACAGTGACATGGGTAGAAAATGCAAACTCTGCACAGAAGGGCTCCCCCACCCTGGGGTTCAAACCAGTAACCCTCTTGCTGTGAAGCAACAATGCTAACCACTCTACCACCGTGCCACCCTGAGAGTTATTGTTAAAACAAAATCACAAGCTCATTTACACATGCAAGGTGCCGGGTGGTGCATCTGCAAACTACTGGTTGTGCCCAGTGGCCAGTTATAAAAATATTCCCAAACAAGTCTGTGAGATAACGGTGTAATATTTTAATGGGTCAAATTTTATTTCCTGTTGCCATGTTTGTTGATATCAAATGTTCACAGGAAGTAAATGTGCTGTTTCCTTGCCATAATCACAATTCTGATTAAAGTATATAAAGAGCCTAGACGCTACTCTGCTCCACCATGAAAAGCTAAAACATTAGGAAAGGTGTTTTTTTAACCATACAACTTTTACTTTATGGCTTTTGATAGCCTCAGATGGACACACTTACTGCTTTATGATCCTATGGCATATATTCATAGTTGCAGAATATTAAAAAGAGATAGAATAAAAAACCCCTCAAAACAACAGCTAACCTGCAAATGAGATGAAACTTTGGCTTTCCATGGTGACATGAAATGACTTTACATGGGCAATGGCAAAGAAGCCATTATGGGTCCAGTGGCTTACCTTAGAGATCTCTCCATCATGGCCCTCTAGAGTCACAAGACACTGATCTGTGGTTACACTGAACAGTCGCGCTGTACCTGACAGAGACAGTGACAGGCAGTGTTGTTAGTGTACATGTACAGAACTTTTTTTACATGTCAAAATGTGGAATTTGTTGCATTTGGGCCTCGGGAAACCAGAATATACACAACAGGTAAAAAATATGGAGGATGTATGATGATGAAATCCATATCTGAATATTATTTCAACTTGACGTCTGAAAACTTAAATAACCCTTCTAAATTCTGGAAAACTATTAAGTCGCTTAATCCTACTGCCCCTGCTTTGCTCCCCCAACAAATTATTCATTGTTCTCAGCCAATAACTGAGAAGCAATCTATTGTTGATCTTTTTAATGAACACTTTGTTTCTGCTGGATATTTGTTCGATCGCTTGTTTCCCGATTTGAAATCCAGTGTCTTGTCCAGCCCTCCCACTGCTGAAGAGACTCCAGGTTCTTATGGTTTTGCTTTTGAACATGTTTCTACTGCTTCTGTCCTTAAAGCTTTAAAAGCAAGTGACCCTAAGAAGTCTCCAGGCCCAGATGGCCTGGATCCCTATTTATTAAGACTCTCAGCAGAACTTATAGCTGAACCTCTGGCTAATATTTTCAACTTATCCCTGTCCACTAATTCTATCCCTAAATCTTGGAAGGAGGCATATGTTTTGCCCATCTTTAAAGGGGGGGATCCCTCTGACCTGAACAACTATCGGCCTATTTCAAAACTCTCAGTGGTTGCTAAAATTATGGAATCCCTGGTGAATGACCAGCTAAAGGAGTTTTTATTAGAAAGCGGTCAGCTTAGCTCTGTTCAGTCTGGTTTTAGATCAGGTCATAGCACTATAACTGCTGCCTCCAAGGTGCTGAACGACATAATTCAGGGTCTTGATAATAATAAACACTGCGCTGCAGTGTTTATTGATTTATCTAAGGCATTTGACACTGTGGACCACACCATCTTAATCAATAGACTCCATAATATTGGCTTGAGTGTAAACTCTGTTAGTTGGTTTGCAAATTATCTTACTGACAGGTCACAGACAGTCCTTGCCGATGGTCAGAGGTCATCTTCCAAGTCAATTGCCCGGGGTGTGCCCCAGGGGTCTATTCTGGGGCCTATCTTGTTTACGATTTATATAAACAACATTGGCACAGATATACAAAATTGTGATAAATCTAACTTTCATCTGTATGCAGATGATACAATTGTTTATTCTTGTGCCTCCTATCTGTCCTGCGCTTTTCAGCACCTCCAAAAATCGTTTAGCTCGATTCAGGCTGATTTTAAAAATCTTAAACTGGTTTTAAATGCTAGTAAAACAAAAGTCATGTATTTCTCTAGATCCCACTCCCAGCCTCCTGTTCCTCACGTTTTCACCACTGATGGAAAGTGCATAGAACAGGTGGCTTCCTATAAATATCTTGGAGTCTGGCTTGATTCTAAACTTACTTTTTCTATTCATTTGGATAATCTTGCCAAAAAACTCAGGATTAAACTAGGATTTTACTTTAGAAACAAGCATTGTTTTAATCTCACTGCCAAAAAGAGACTTGTCATGGCTACCTTTCTTCCCATGATTGATTATGGTGATGTTCTTTATATGCATGCCTCTGCTGCATCCCTTAAGGCTATAGACACAGTCTATCATGGTGCCTTGCGCTTCATTTTGAATGCCAAATCTCTCACCCATCATTGTTTCTTATATGAAGGGTCTGGTCTGACATCACTAAACTATCGCAGATGGCGCCACTGGCATATTTTTATCTACAAAGCCATCTTAGGGCTACTCCCTGGCTATTTGAACCGCCTACTCAATCACTCTACTAGTGGGTACAGCCTGCACTCTCAGGACTTCTTGTTGTTTTCGGTCCCTCGCGCCTTCACTGAATTTGGGAAGACCGCTTTTAGTTATTATGCCCCTTGGTCCTGGAATCAGCTCCAGAAAACGCTAAAATTGGCTGACCTTGTTTCCTTGGGTGATTTTAAATGTTTGTTACAGTCTGTAAAAACAGAGCTCTGCAACTGCTTTCTTTGAATTTGATGTGTACTGTATGTACTTTATGTATCTATGTACTGCTGTGTTTATGTTTTTTGTTGTTGTATTGTTGTAACATTGGTTTGCTGCCTTCTTGGCCAGGGCTCCCTTGTAAAAGAGATGTCAATCTCAATGGGACTCACCTGGTTAAATAAAGGATAAATAAAAATAAAATAAATAAATGTATGGCAGTCTTTTTTTTGGCAATCTTAAAGTAAACCTCAGACATGTAATCAAAAACAAGAGAGTGAGGAAAAAGTGGAAATGTGTAAAAATATGAAATTCTGAATAAAAAAATGAACTTAAAGGTACTATACTAGTACCTTTAAGTTCATTTTCTTGCCCAACATCAGCTAGGATAAGCGGTTGTGGAAAATGAATGATTGAATGAAGGTGCTATACTAGCACGTGTAGTATTTATACTAGTATAAATACTTTACTAGTAATGTTAAGTTTCAGCAAATTAATCTCACCATCAGCAGAGGCAGAAGCAATGAGCTGACCACTTAAATCAAAACACACATCCAGCACCTCTTCTTTGTGTCCAATTAGAGTGGCCACACACCTCCCACTGACTGCTTCCCACAACTGCAAACACATACACACAACACAAAACCCTGAGTGGCACAACAGATGAAAGACACAGGCAGGAAAGCACATTAAGTTCAAAAACTAGGACACATACATGTGAAGAAACACGTACACAGTCTCATAAAATGTACTTGCACGCAGCTGTAGCTGTATTAAGTGGCTTTACTTTAACTATCTCCCCTGGAGGAATGCAGTGAGGTGGATAATTCTTCAGAGTATGACTCATCTTGGCATAATTAAGATATTAGGATTCAATTTTTCTGCTTTAAATGATGGAGACCTTAGAGACAGGAGGTAGGGAGAGACGGGGAGTGGGAAATGGAGGAGGGTGATTATGAATGACAAGAGCCATCCATCTCACACATTGATTGGAAATTGTTAGAGATGTTAAATGAATAACAAACTATTGATAATATAATTTCAGTCTGTATTTTGGCAAAAAAAGCATTTTATTAGAGTTAAATAAAACACACACACACTCGCAGGTTTGGGGCTGATGTTAGTTTACCTTGCAAGTTTTGTCCATGGAGCCTGTGACTATGAGGGAGCCGTCCCAGCTGAACTGAACGTTACTGATTTCCCCCCTGTGACCTATTAGAGTGTGGACACGTCTGAGAAAAACAGAAAGAGCAGGAATGAGGCACCTGTGCACTCATGTATGCACTGTACAGAATAAATTATGACACGCATGCAGAGATTGATGCATGCATTACAATACTGACCTTCCTGACCCAACGTCCCATATAGCAGCAGTGTGGTCAAAGGAGCCTGTGACAAGCTGATTTCCCACTGAGTTAAAACACAGAGAGAGGACCTCTGCAGTGTGACCCTGGATGAATAGAAAAAGAGAGCATTATTCCTCACTGTTGAATTTCTTTTCTCTTATAAACTCCCGCTCTTTCTCTACGCCTATAAATGAAAATGCACATCAGACACAATAACACACAGACTTCAGTCTCAAAGGAGTACTTTACCTACAAAATGATCGTCTGTGTATTAAATACTCACCCTCTTTTATGCTGAATTCATGAAGAAAACTTTCTTTTTCTCACATGCCTCCACAGTGAACAGACTCAAAAAACTTGGAGATTCTTGATGAATTGAAGGAAAATGGGTTCTCCGTTTCACAACAACAAAACTATATCAAAACCTCCATTAATAAACTCATGCAGTATAATCCACGTCTTACTTCCTCAGTCTTATGCTCAGTACTTCCCAGACATGCATTTTCACACCTTACTATTTAAAACACATCCGTTTACAAGTCTTACGCACGGAGGAGTAGTGCACCTGAGCAAGAGCATGCATTTGAACTTTGCTCATTGGAATGCACCAGCAGAGCTCAAATGCAAGCGCTTGCCCAGGTGTGCTACTCATATCCTTAAGAGTTTTAAATCATAAGATTTCAGTGAAAATGCGTTTTGTTGTGTTTGTTTTGGAAGTACTTAACCCATGACTTGGATTAAACTGCATGGGTTGTGTGAGAGTTTATTAACAGAGGTTTTGATATAGTTTGTTGTTGTTAAACGCTGCCCCCTTTTACTCTAGTTCACTCACAAAATGATCATTTGCATACCAGTTAGTCACCTCGTGTTACCCTGAATTCATGAAGAAAACTTTGTTTTTCTCGCATGACTCCACTATTGACGAAGAATCCAAAAACAGAATATTTTTGATGAAGTATTCCTTTAAAAGTAGCTTCTTCAATTCTTGAAAACAATAATAATAATGAGCATGTGTTTAAGATTCTACGCTCAATTGACTGCTGTCAGCATGATTGATTCTTCCTGGTGTGAAGCAATGACAGAACAGAGAGCTACAGAGAGTTGCTTCTTACTGAGACAGAGCCAGCCAACCAACCAGTCACACCATGGACCCACGTGCAGTCTGCACATCAAAGAGAGCTCACTACTCCCCGCAGAATGGGTTATCTGCGGCTTTATTAAAGAGTTACAGTTTCATTCGCCATCAGATCATGGGCAGATATGTGGGGCAGAGAAGGTGCTGACCATCAGCAGGGTCAACAACACTCAGTCCAGGAATAATTGCTCTTAGAAGTGAATGAAAAGTGAATCAATGCATTATTCATGAAGAGAAAAAAAGAGCAAGCGAGGCATTGGGATATAGTGAGTAAAGAGAAGATTACTCACAGTCAATGTGTGCACCTCCTCCCCAGTCTCCACATCCCACAGCTTGGCAGTGGCATCCATGCTGCCTGTAGCCACCAGTGTACTCTGGGGGTTGAACGCCAGGCACATCTACACAAAACAGAACTCTCTTTTACAGTTACTAGTGCTAGATTCTGCTACAGAGCCAAAAAGGATTTAGCCAACCTATTTTTCATCTAAGCACAAGAGCATAATACCAGTACAAGCATTAAAATACACAATTTACCTTGTCCTGCAGCATAGAAATGTGCATAAATACTGACTATGCACAGTAGCCTATAGCATATAAAGCAAAAATTTACTACACACAGACAGTACTCCAATCATTTTCAGTTAAAACACATTGTCATACATACTATTTCTGCCATGTGTCCGCGAAAGGTATGAAAACATTTGCCCGTCTCTGCACACCACAGTTTGCAGGTCTTATCAAAAGAGCCGGTGGCAACCTTGTCTCTAAGTTTCAGCAAGATAAAAATAAACAAAATAAACTGAGAGTCCAATACAGCAATGTGCTCAGATGCTATTAAAGTTTTGCTGAAACAGCTCATTACCCATATGGGTTGTTGAATGCAACTGCAAACACCACGTTTCTGTGACCCTCCAGCTTGTGTAGCTCTGTGCCTGAGGCTGTGTCCCAAACTCTGCATGTCCTGTCGTAGCTCGCAGTTATAAACCTGCACAGAAACATGGGGAAGAGTAAAGAAAAACACAACAATGGAGAATGAAACTCCAAATTGGCAGACTTGTGCGTGGTGCAGATAACCTACCTCGACCCTGATTTGTCAAAGGCAATGTTTGTCAGCGGCAGTATGTGTGGCTTAAGCTCCTGCAAATAAGACCAGAGAAAGATTAGAAAATATACCCTCATAGGCAATATTGTTATTTACTTCATTCATCTTTAAGATTACCCATTTAATACCCACATATAACTACTCTGCATTGATGTAATTGGAAGACCTCCCACTCCCAGCCCACCAGTGGTGAAAGGATTTTCTGTACTTATGCAGAACAGCAGAGTCTCTCACCAGTTTAAGACAGAAAGCATCCATATCCTCAGACCTCCAGCCACATAACCAACCCTGATCTCATACCAATTACATCTTGTGTATTCTTAAGCACAATGAGACACTCATGAAGAATCTGTTGTCAATATGTTATCAGACTCTTGGCTGCTTACTTGGCCTCTCATTTTAGGACGTAGTAACCTAACCACTGCTGCTCTCTAGTGCCTATTGGGAGTACTGGCTGATTTTACTCAAACTCTGAACTTTCCACATAAGTAAATAACATTCACAAAAAGCAAATATCAGGGAACTAATATATTGCTGTAATTAGCTGAGGTTGCCAAAAAAGGTCATTATCCATTTCAACTGCCTGTGTAATATACTATAACAGCTTTACAATAAACAAAATCACCAATGTTCCCTTTAGTCCATCAACCTGACCAAAAAAAAAAAAAAAAACCTTCCAAAAATGTTTGTACTGATACAAAAGACAAAGAGTGCTCTACACTAGATTTTACAACCTGCCCTAGGACCCTGAATATCAAAACAGTGTAATAAAAAATCTATGAATGCATAAATGTCACTGTGTTGACCTATTTATTATTTATCAGTAATGTATGTATGAGTCCAGTGTCTAACCTTGAAGAGACAGAACCTGTGGTCCTCCCGCTGGCCCTGTTTCTGCTGCAGTCGAAGGATCAGCTGTTTGACCTGATTGGCCTGGGACTCTGACCTGATCAGAGGCTCCAACTGCCTAATTTCTGCCAACATTTCATCTGGGTCTGTCCTGCAGGGTTGAAAAATGCAATTTTCTTTTCACAAGTTTACACTTCAGATGACCTGATAACAGTAATTTGAAAATACTAATCATTCAGCAAATCTTAGAGGTCCAAATGTTAGGTACAAACATGCATGAATGAGACACTGTTGGTGAAATGCTCACTCGGCCTTCGACCCAAATATAAGCAAAGAAGAAGAATTACCTACCTACCTATCTATTACTCTTCTTGTTCATCAGAGTTTATTCATGAGTGCCAATATGAGATGAACTGAACTGATTAACTTTATCCTCAAGGTAAAACTGATTTTAGTGTGTTACCCTAAACAGCTTTATCATTTAAAATAAGGTCACACGTGCATCAGACACATAAAAAAAACACATAAACCAGACTGATGGTAGATCACATTAGAAATAGCATCCCTCCTTCCTGCTGCTGTCAGACTATACAACCAGCACTGCTCCCAGTAGACCACACATATGAAAACTATGGACAACCAATCATCACTCATGTGCAACATCTATATCTGTATATTCTAACTGCGGAATATCTACACTTGATTCATGCAGTAATGTTAATTCGGCCACTCAGCCTGTCTGTTTAATATTATATCTTGCTTTCATTTTTTACTGCTCACAATCACTGACTCAAGTGCAATATCAGTATGTCCATAAGTCAGTCATCAGTCATTCAATGTTTCTCTTTATTATGTTCTGCTTCCTTATTATATTGCTTTGTGTTTTTATACTGTTTGCTTATTGTACTGGTCTTTCTTATTGTACAGTTTACTTACTTTATGTATTCATATATTGCTTTGTATTTTATTGTTTTCTGCTGATGCTTCCTGTTTTCACTATCCCTTTGCTGCTGTGATGTTGCAAATGTCCCCAATGTGGGACGAATATGGATCATCTCATCTCATCTTGTCTATCTTTACCCTACATACAAAAGGGTTCAGGCAGTTTGGTCATAAATCCTGACCTCACTGACCTCATACAGTGCTCTGAGGTCACAGACAGGGCTATATGGACATGTGTCTGACTAGCTTGGTGATAAAATGACATTATTTGTGAGAGATGAACACTCCTATATGAGGATATTATGACATCAAAGAGTAATCAGCTAAGCATAGTGCTGTTAGCTAACGTTAGGTAACCGTTTATGTAATTGTGTAGGGTACAACTCACTCACTCTGGGGTCAGATCCAACAGGTCGATTGATTTGGTCTTCAAATATCCTCCTTTCTCGTATTCCAAGGCTATACCTGAAAGTAGAAACATTAATTTAACCCGGGAAGTCCACTTATGCTGGCTGAAATGAATAGAGCAGCGGTTAGATACGCTAACATTATGCTAACTTAGCTAACGAACAATATGGTTTTGGGGTGGAAAGTTACAGCGAAGTAAGGCTACAGAAAGTTGTCAGAGTTGAAAACGGAACTAACGTTACAGTTAGTACGACTTAAAATATCCGTATTACCTGGCGGATAGTACCTGAGAAGGAAGCGCTTGAGTTTCATTTTGCCATGTATTCAACCCACTTTACTCCACCATTCAACAAACCGTTGCTATGGCGACAAACTCGCAGCACATGCCCGCGTGCACTCACTACGCATGCGTACTACGAACATAAACAGAGCATCTCCAGAACTTGAAGTCAGTTAAAACAAATATCCAAGCTAGGATACTAGTTACTGCTCCTTTATTTTCACATCCTGGGGGCACTGAGAAGGAGAAATGTTAGTCCTCGCATCATTTCGGCTGTTGACTGAATTTCTGAGACTTTTGTGAGTAGTCAGTGATGTATTTTAGGCCTTGTAAGTGAGGAATAAGCAGCAATGCCAGGAATTTTGCATGTTATATAGCCTTCTGTTTTGTACAGCTGTTAACTCTTCAATACAGTAAGAGAATGGGTTAATCATTTTTTATAATGACTCACTATTAATTAATATATTTGCCTGTATGGTGCAGAGGGGGAGTCATTGTATTCCCAGGTGCAATTTGCCTGCCTCTGCCTAACAGTAGAAGTTTAATTTATCTCTGTTAAATTGTCTCCTGTGTTGTTAAAAAAAAAGTATCACAGGCTTAATGTTTGCACTCATAACAAAACTGAAGGAAGTATACTTTCGTCACCTCTTTGTCCCTCTGCTACCTACCAGGTTGAAGTCTACTGCTCATAAACTCTGACAAAGGTACACTCAGATCATAAAGATCATGTGTGTATATTCGAGCTACTATGAGCACTGATAACTTCAAAAGCGGTCATTGACCTGAGGGATAGTCCAGGTAGTCAAGACTTCAGATACAGACCAGCGTGCTCAGGCAGAGCTCCTGGAAATAAAAACATAAGAGGAGAAGAGAAGGGAAATTCTGCTGAGGTAAAAGCATGGGCAGATGGGCCAAGCTGAAGTCCTCCAGCTGGACTTATCCTACCGCAGTTCTGTCACTCTATGGGTTTTTTGCCAACTGCAGAGTAGCAGAGCCCTTCCTCACACCATACCTAATTGGACCACACAAGAACATCTCTGAAGAAGTGGTAAGCGTGGCAGACACATACATGTTTGCATGTGTTTACATAGACACACACAAGTTTTGTATAGGAGCTCTTATCTGAGACCAACTGGTCTTCTGTATGTATTGACAATGAGATAAAAATGCTGTGGACAAGAGGCAAAACAGTGTGCCTGGATCAGGATTGCTGTTTCCCCACAGGTGACCAACTACCTTTTCCCTATCTGGACGTACTCCTACCTCGCCTTCCTTTTCCCAGTCTTCCTCCTGACTGACTTCCTGAGATACAAGCCCCTCATTGTCATACAGGGGCTCTTCCTGGTCACCAACTACATCCTGCTTTGCTTTGTGCCCGGTCTGCCTGCTATGGTCTTCCTTCAGGTCCACTGAAAAATTAATAAATCAAAGTTACATCACTTATATGTCCTGTCAAACACGTTTATTTAAAATATCTTTTTAGATATTGCATAAGACTATAATTCTGCTGTTAACGGACATATGGTATTGCTGTACTGTTGCATATTACTCAAGAGGAACATCTAGTGATAGAATGCATTATGTTTTGCATTAAGGTTGCAGTCTCTTTCAAACTGTTTCATCCCACCAACAGGTCAACTATGCTGTCGTGACCTCCACAGAGGTGGCCTATTTCTCCTACATTTACAGCGTGATTCCAGTTGAGCATTACCAAAGAGCCACTGGTTACCTGCGCAGTGCCATGCTGGCTGGATATACACTTGGTGCCAGCCTAGGCCAAGTGCTGATCTCCCTGGCAGGTAGAGCTTCTCAGCCTATATACACAGAAGAGAATTAGATAGTAATGTTTAGCTGTATTTTCTCCACATATATCTCCTATTACAAAATGTCTTGAGCAATTTGAGCAAGCACTGATTAAGTATGAACTCTAATAAACAGGAGTGGACTACTTCTACATCAATACTATCACTCTGGGGATTGTAAGCATGGCTTTTCTCGTCTCCTTCTGGTTGCCCATGCCCCAGAGGAGTCTGTTCTTCAAAGGGAAAGAGGCTGCAGCTGTGGGCTCACAGTCCCAGCAGGAGGGGGCTCTGGGAGTGGATGGCATTGAGGAACCGGTGAGGGATAAGGATGAGGTTGGCTCAGTGAAAGAGAAGATGGAGCATAATGGCAGTGCTGGCTGGTGCAGCAGGAAAAGTGCAGCCAATGCAGGCCGTCTACTTTGGCAAAGCTTCAGGGAGTCATATTCTTCCAGGCATTTTCCTTTTTTTGATTATTTGTCAATACACATCACACTTTGAGTGCAGATCTGCTGAGCATACACCTTTAGCACATCTTGCCAGTATTACAGTTTAATGTATTTTCCTTTCTTTTAGTCTCTATAATGTATTCATATAGTAGCACTCTGTGAACCCTCTAATTACACTCATGATTATAATCTGTGTTAATGATTAACACCACGCAGGAACTTGATCTACTGGTCCCTATGGTGGGCTCTGGCCACAGCTGGCTACGTGCAGGTTTTCAACTACATCCAGCTTATGTGGGACCATATAGAGCCATCTGCCACATCATCCATCTATAACGGAGGTGTTGAGGCTGCCTGCTCCCTTGTAGGTAAGACTGGTTGTAAATGTGTGTGAGCAAGAAAGAAAAACATACATAAATAACAAGAAAAAATGCATTTTGTGGTTCCCTTGTACATACCTTAAAAAACTTAAGAAATCAAATATGAAAACAACATATGTACAGTCTGTAAATACGTATCGTCACTGTGCTGAGGCTGTAAGTGTGAAAATCTACCTACAATATATACATTTGAGAAACAAATAAATGCAGTAGAAATAGCCAGCTTTTTCCAACTCCGCACCATTTCCAAAGTCAAGCCATTTCTCTCCCTCAAAGACGTGCAGATAGTCACCCACGCTCTCATCTCCTCCCGTTTAGACTACTCTAACTCTCTGTACACTGGTATCAATCCGTCCTTTCTGTCCCACCTCCAGCTGGTTCAAAACGCCGCTGCTAGGCTCCTCACAGGTTCCCAGAGGAGACACCACATCACACCTGTTTTGGCCTCTCTCCACTGGCTGACAGTAAAGTTCAGAATTGACTTTAAGGTTCTCCTGTTTGTGTACAAGGCCCTTAACGTCCTAGCCCCATCCTACACCTCAGACCTTCTAACCTCTTATTCTACGCCCAGGTCCCTCAGGTCAGCTGGCCAGGTGCTCCTGGCTGTCTCCTGTCCAGACTTAAGCTCAGGTGTGATCGTTCCTTTGCTGTGTCTGCCTCCAAACTGTGGATCAGCATCACCATCCCAATCAGATCTGCCCCCACCAATGAATCATTTAAGTCCAGGCTCAAAACCTACCTTTATTCATTAGCGTTTGAGTCCCCCTGATGTGGTTCTTCCTGACCCGTGCCTGTGTGTGTTGTGTCTCTACGTACATGTGTGAGCTGTGTACCTCACAGTTATGTTGCCCATATCTATGCGTGTTTTAGCATTTTATTCCTTTTGTACAGCACTTTGGTCAACATAGGTTGTTTTTAAATGTGCTTTATAAGTAAATTTGAGTTGAGTTGAGTCAGTAGAATAGAACAACAATAGAATTAGAGTAAACATAAAAAATATGTACAGTTATGTGCATTGTATGTTGAATTAAAGATATTTTTGGGGGCATTTTTGCCTTTAATTGATAGGAAAGTGAAGCGTGAAGGGGGGAGAGAGGGAATGACATGCAGCAAAGGGCCACATGTTGGAGTCGAACCCGTGCCGCTGCGGCAACAGCCTTGTACATGCGGCGCCTGCTCTATCCACTAAGCCAACGACGCCCCCACTGTAGTTTATTTTAAGGTGATCACACACCATCTTGCTATCCTAAATAGCCTACTCACTACTCCCTCCTAAAAGCAGTTTTTAATCCTATTTAAGTAATATTTGTCAAAATGTTTTATGAAATTAATAATGTGTTCATCACCCACAGCTTGGGGCTGAGGGCCACAGGGTAGGGAAAGTATTGAAAGATGGACATACAGATAGTTTTTTTTTTTTTTTTGACAATAAAAGACATATAGAACAAAACCTGCTTCGAATAAATATTGCCCCAAAAACATCAAAGTAGAAACAAACCACTTATGAACTACAGATTTGAGTTTTCTAAGAATAGTGTGCACAAAAGCACAGTTAATGAAGGAGTGAAAAGTTGCTTTTGGATGCTGGTATCTCACAGAGGAGCTGGAGTTTCACAGAAGCAGGAGGATGACTGATTGAACCAGGAGTTCAATTAACCCAGGGGAGGGCAGCACGACCACATTATATAGAGCAAAATAAAAATTTAACAATGTTATTAAAAGTTTCCATGTCTGATGGCACACAGACCTATAAAACTTGCAATTAAAAGAAAACAACCATGCTGTTCCAGGTTATATGGGATACCTGATTAAATGGAAAATGTGTATTGATTTTGAAAGGGGATAGCAGCACCATGGTCCGCTTGGCTTACGCTCAACCTGGCTCAGCATGAGAAGAAGAGTAATTGCTTCAATTAAGGAGTTAGAGTTAGGCGGTAATCGATTCTCTGATTATTGCTGATAGTTGATTCCAAGAGCCGGCTGAAAGAGGTTCATCATAATAGGCAGGTGATGTGATGACCAGCAAAGGTGTGTGTGTGTGTGTGTGTGTGTGTGTGTGTGTGTGTCTGTGTGTGTGTGCGCATAGAAGCCACATTGCCATTTGTACCATCATTCAAAGGAAGAGATACTGTTGTTACGGTTATTTAATGAATCATAACAAGGATGCACAGGCACAGTGGAGGTGTTGTCCACTAGAATGACAGATTTATCACATCATCCTTCTCTTCCATGGTCCAGGTGCCGCAGCTGCCTTCTCCGTGGGCTACATCAAGGTGACCTGGGCCATGTGGGGAGAGCTGGCGTTAGGGTTGTTCTCAGCTGTAGGAACGGGTGCTGTGTTTCTGATGGCGTTCACCAGCAGTATCTGGACATGCTATGCTGGTTATGTGATCTTCAAGTCCTGCTACATGCTTCTGATCACCATCACAACGTAATTTTCAGTATAACATCTTCCATTCTTTAATCTGCAGTGTTATTGTGGGTTTTTCAAAAGTAGAGGGAGGAACAGAATATCACTACTTTATAGCAGTAAAGTGACCTAATCTTTTTAACTTATCAGACTGTCCTATTAATTGTCTTTTACACACTTAGTCATTGTATCCACCTTACTGAAGTTTATTTGTCAAAAATCTCATTGTGCAAATATTTTGTGAAAGCACCAATAGTCAATGTTACAGTATCGTCTCAATATTAATATCTAGGTATCTAATCAAAAATATTGTGGTATTTGATTTTCTCTATATCCTCCTGAGACCCAAACCTTTATTTGGTATGCCTTTTGATCTCTCCTAGCTATTTGGGATCAGTAGGACCTGATAAGTATAAAAAACTAAACAGTGTCAATGATAAATTAAGTCCCAATGTCCTCAAATGAGATAATATTTAAGTCCCGATGTCCTTAATTGGGACAATAATTAAGTCCCAGTGTCTTCAAACGAGTACTTCCTTTAACAGTGTCTTAATCACTGTCGCTAAAATTGGTTAAATATGTTGCCATATCAAACTACAAACATTATTATTCATAAATAAACAAGTTTCAACCATTAAATGTGATCAGGTTTTGGACCTTAACCACTTTTGCGTCTGGATCGGTTGCAGACTGACTTTGCAGAGATGGCTGCCATCTTGTTTTTACGTGGATTAGTGTACTGTGCTCTTACTGCCACTAGATGGCACAAAAAGTGTCCACGGACAAGGACAACAGGTCTAAATTAAGTAGTATGAGGTTTAAGGTCAAGTAAACCCAAAATGTGATGTCCTCATTTGAGGACACAGGGTCTCAGGAGGTTATCGCCCATTCCTAAGTGTTTTTTTTTGTTTGTTTGTTTGTTTTTTGTAAAACAAGCTTTACAGACAAAGAAGGGTAGTTTTGGATTAGGAATGCAATTACAGATTATTTTCATTATTGACTAATCTGCGGGGGGGGGGGGGGTTGACAAAAATTCCTTTTGTTCCTCCTTTTGTTTGACAAAAAATCCATAACCTTAAGATGTTAAATTTGCAATGATAAACAAAGAAAAGTAGAACACACTGATTAAAGAAGAAATGTTTGGCATTTTTACTCTAAACGTTACCCAAACTATCTATTGACCATCAAAACAGTAAATGCCTTTTCTGTTGCTCGACTAATTGTTTCAGCTCTATTTTGCATTGCTTATAAATACAGTATCTATGACTAAGCATATACCATACTTCTCTCAGAGTAACTATACCCACTTTTAGATTTCAGATCGCATCCAACCTCTCCATGGAGTGCTACGCCTTGACATTCGGCATCAACACTTTTTTAGCCCTTTCACTGCAGACCATTATAACGGGCATAGTTGTTGATGAAGCCGCACTGGGACTAGACATTGTGACACAGGTATGTGCATGCACAGTATTAATTTATTAGGGTTTTTTTATTAAATGGCAGAGCACAGGGAACTTAACACTGACAATCTGTGGGTGAGCTCACTCTGAATCAAGAATGTAAGCAGTGTAAGTCCTCTGTTAGATGACAAACACTAAAATGTGAGGAGAGAGCAGCACCTTGTGGTAACCATTCACTGTTGCATGCAGACAGGCTTGATGAAGATGAATCCATAGCATGACTAAACTAATGTTGATGATAATGACTGAGGTCTTTCTCTGCAGTTCATCATCTACGGCAGCTACTACGCTGTCATCTCAGTGCTCTTTCTGATTCGAGGGACCTACACCGCGTATGTGAATCAACGCAATCCTGAGCACACGGGAACCAAAGATCAGCAGTCGAGTGTGGAGGTGATCTCTTCCGAGCATTTCTGACGAAGGTCAATAAACTGTTATTGTCTTGATAATACTGAATAAGTAGGAGACTGTTCCATTTGATGATAAGGAATAGCAGTGTTACTGCTCTCTAATGAGTTTAAAACATCCTATTGCCTGATACAACAATGGCCCTTAGTCACCAAAAGGAGGCTGAGCATCAGAGTGGCTTAATATAGGTATGCCATTTGTAGTGGAAACTTGAATCATCCAATAACCAAACGTTATATGGAAGCTCAACATTTTAGTGATATAATCCCAAGAGTGTTAGGTGTTGAAGTCATCAGTTCTGATGCCAGGGGCGGAGATACAACCAAACGCCTCAATCAAAGAGAGTCATATTGGATCCATGCCCTTAAAGGCACCATGCACCCTGGTCTAAATGAGCACTTTGACTTCTCATCTTTTTTTACAGTCATTTTCTTCATCCTAAAATATAGTTACACTTTGTTTGATTAGATTGGTATTATGTGACTGACAGCCTGTGAGAGGACCTTTTTTACATTTACTTACTGTGTTGCTGTTGGCCCCTAGAGGCCTAAAAGAATGTTGCATACTCTCACCTGTGCACACTTGAGGTGAACACAACTATAATTACTCTGTTTGTTTCTGTGTCACTGTACCCTCAGGAAAGCGCAAGCTGGTGCGCATTGGTGTATTTGTCATGTTTCTAGCCTGTTGAAATAAAGGCCTTTTATATTTTTCAAACCATCTCAAGTGCCTGGACCTGGATCATTTATAGCTCTTTTTTTTGGCAGTAAGTCTTCCTCTCTTTGAGCACCATTGGTTTGAGGGACACCAGTAGCGCTCCTGCTACCCTTTTTTTTCCAACGGACCTTATTTGCTGACTAAACTTCATGGGCGTTTTCCATATCACCTCATTTTGTTATCTCTACATTAATCTACTGAGGACACCTAACAGCACAATAAAGCTGTAACTATTACCGATTAGTGAAGCGTATTAAAGATAAAGTCTTGAGATTTTTCTGGCTGCCTGTTTATCTCGGCTTGAGTTGGACCATCACCAAGGTAGTGTTGCTCTTTGACCGGGTTGTTGATTGACCAAACAAGCTCGACACTTTGACAGCCTTAAGTGTTTCCCACAAGGAGGCAAGACGGACAGAGCGAAGGAACGTATGCACACACCTGAGACCGGTAGAATAACAGCAGAAGATGGAGGTAGTGAGGAGGTGGAGGGCAAACTGGAAGTATCCCACTACTCTGCTGTGCATTTATGGATTCTTTAGCACAGTCAAACCCCTGGAGCCTTTCCTCATCCCATACTTGACGGGACCGGACAAGAATCTGACGGCAGAACAGGTACAAAAACAAAGGCAAATGACTTGAAGGTGATCTATGCATATTTACAAGAGTCATACATTTTCTTCCTATGGTCTAAGACAGTCCAAAAATGTAAGTAAACATGAACAACTCTCACAAATCAAGTGCTAACACTCACATTTGTGATGTCATCAAGTATTAAGTCTAGAGCTGCTTGACAGACTATGAATTAGGACGTTATAGATGACACTGAGAGCACCCAGGGGACCGTTCAGAGTATATGGGTACATTTTCTGTTTCAGCACTGAGAACACTGCAATAGAATTAAGTTCATCTTACTATATAATGACGAAAACTCTCGTCTGTGTGTCTGTTCCACGTTTTTCTCCTCACTGACTTGGTCAATCCATGTGAAATTGGCCAAAGGGGGGCGCTATAGCAACCGATTGAAATTGCAAACTTTGAATGGGCATATCTCATGCCCTGTATGTCGTAGACAAGAAAATTTGCACAGAGATGCCTCTCCTCATGAGGAACAAATTTGCCTCAAGAACCCATAACTTCCGGTTATATAGATTTTCCACCATTTTGAATTTTTTTAAAAACACTTAAAGTCGATCTCTTCCTAGGAAGTTTGACCGATCTGCATGAAACACGATGAACATAATCTAGGGACCAATATCTAAAGTTCCCTCTTGGCAAAAGTTGCAAAACTTACTAAAACTGAGCTTCTATAAGGCAATGAATATTGCGGAGGGCGTGGCTCATCACATAAAGGTGTATAACATCTCAAGGGTTTCACCGATCACCACGCACCTTTGTAGTCATATGACCACACATAATCTGAGGGGACCCCTCCATTATTGACCCCATCAAACAAAATGGGGGCGCTAGAGAGCTAATTTCTTATCTAGGCCTAACCACCACATTGATTTTTACTAAACTAAACTAGAACAGGACGCCTCAAGGTGACTGGAAAAATTTAACTCTAATTGGCAACTGGGTGGCGCTATAACAACAGAAAAATGCTTAAAAATGGCTAAAATGCGACCGATCGCTGTAGCTCCCCCTGTGGCCCAATGTTGTTGTTTTTGTTTTCTAATTTTTGGTATGACTAAGTCATGGTATGGTATGCTGTACATAATCACGGAAACTGTCAGTGTGTCATTCTGTCAGTCAGTCATTCTGTCTGTCCCATGTTTTTCTACTCACTGACGTGGTCAATCTATGTGAAACTGCACATAGGCATTGAGGACTGGCATAGGTAGAAGGTGACAAAGCTACCAATGGGTATGGACTAGTTTGGGTATAAAAGGAGAAAACAAACACTGTGGGTCCACAAAATCAGGCTCCCATTCATTGTCAATGGGGCAGCTCCTGACTTTACACCCTATGACATCACAAGTTTGAGATTTACTTCTCTGGTTCTGGCCTTGAAAGAGAGTAGCTCATGGTCACATTGATCTTTCTTAGGCCATGGGAATAACATAAGTGGTGTTCCACTTTAACCAAATCACAAACCAAAAAAATGCAACAAGTTAAATCAGGCAGTCAAAAGAGCAACCATAGCTCAACACTGTTTCAGTTTGCCTCGTCAGTTTTGTGGCGTTGACACCAAATCCTAAAACATATAATGTACTTATTTGTTTGTGTTTGCAGAGGTGACATTCACGTTTAATCTCTACAAAACAACCAAGTTGGTGAATCACAGTAAATGGTTAAATGCAATCTATACGACTTGAGTGATAAAACTCCAATCATAAAACCTTTGATTTATGGATATGACATAATACAGTGCCTGTCTTAAGTGCAATAGCTCTTTAACGTTTGCTTATTGATCTGTTGTTGTTTCCTCTTCAGGTGGTCAATCAAATTTTACCAGTATGGACTTACTCTTACCTGGCAATGCTGGTGCCAGTGTTCCTGCTGACTGACTGGCTGCGTTACAAGCCTGTGATGGTGTTCCAGTGCGTCACCCTCTTCATCACCACAGGGATGATACTGTGGCTGAAAAGTGTACCAGCCATGCAGGCCATGGAGTTCTTCTACGGGGTGGTGACAGCCAGCGAGGTGGCCTACTTCTCCTACATTTACAGGTGACGTACTGTAACTCAAAGGGCAGAGCAAAGGACCAGTGATACCAGGTGTCAGGGGGTTGAGTTTTACACACATTTTGAATGTTGTTTATTGCAGCATGGTGGATCTTAAGAGGTACCGGAAGGTCACGTCTTACTGCCGCAGTGTCCAGCTCCTTGGGTACACAGTGGGCTCTGTGCTGGGCCAGCTGCTCGTCAGCTTCGACCTTATGTCCTACAACTACATCCTGGTGCTTACTCTAGTTTTCACCGCCATCGCTCTCCTCACTTCCTGCCTACTGCCAATGCCACAGCAGAGCATGTTCTTTCACCGTAAACATACTGGAGAGAATATGGTGACAGAGGGAACAAAGAGGGATGCAGATGGGACAGGGGATGCAACAGAACACACAAGCGGAGCAAAGGCATCCCTGGAAGAAATAAAAGATGAGAAGGTGGAGAAAGGAGAAACTGAGAATGAAGCAGGAGTAGGAATGGATGAAAAAGCTGCAAAGGGCGAGGACCCTGTGGAGTCTGTCGACACACAGAGCTGCGGCCAAGTCCTACTCCAGCTGTGGAGGGACTTCAAACAGTGCTATTCCTCCAGACAGCTGCTGTACTGGTCAGTGTGGTGGGCGATGGCCTCCTGTGGCTATTACCAGACCATCAACTACGTGCAGGTCAGTCAAGTAAAGAACTACACACCTGCTTTGTTTTGACATATTCATCAAGTCATTGCAGTAACTTGAGTGTGACGAGTACCTCTGTATCAGCTAAATGATCGCTGCAATGTACCCCGCAGATGCTGTGGGAGCATGTGCAGCCTTCTCAGGATTTCAGCATCTACAACGGAGGCGTGGAGGCAGTGTCATACCTGTTGAGTAAGCAATATCATATAAAGGTTTCCAGAGAAGGATACAGATAAGGAGACACAAAAGTACATTCAAACTAGGGCTGGCCGATACGCCCTGAAAATGATATCGCAATATTTTAGGCTGTATCTCGATACAACATATATATCGCGATATATATATATATTTTTTTAAAAATCTCCTCAAAAGCACTTCATTAATGTTAGGACTGGGAGGCAAAATCGAACATAGTATTTCTGACCAAATACCCTCTCTGATGCAAAAGTTACTTCACTTAAATGCAATGCAGCCTTTAAAATAAGGGAAAAAAACACCATTTATATCCAAAATGTAAGACGATATATAGTCTCATATCTTGACAATGACATTATATCATCATATTGCCCAGCCCTATATCAAACCCATTTCTCAGTGCTTATTAAATCGTCATCTCCACTACAATAATCCTAAGTTTAAGTGTTCTGCAGGTGCAGCAACAGCCTACGGTATAGGCTTCATCGAGGTGAGATGGGACCTTTGGGGAGAGCTGGCCCTGGGTGGTTTCTCCGGACTCGGGGCATCAGCACTATTCCTCATAACCTTCATCGGCAACATCTGGGTCTGCTACGCTGGTTACATTATTTTCAAGTGCCTGTACATGCTGCTGATAACGATAGCAATGTAAGAGTGTTATACGATAAAGGGGGGTGTTTTTACTCATGATTCAGACTGGTTTTTATTGCAGGCATAACAGGAAACAAAACATCTAAATAAACAATCCTAATCAGGTACCAGATTGCAGCTGACCTGTCAATGGAAAGATACGCTCTAGTCTTTGGAGCAAACAACTTTGGAGCGCTGGCTCTCCAGACGATCCTCACTTCTGTTGTGGTTGACAGCAGAGGGCTGGGCCTGAGCATCATCCCTCAGGTGAGCAGTCTGATCGGGAAATGTCAATCGGGTCTTCTGTAGATGTAGCAGAAGCGTTTTTAAGTCCACTCACTGTTGTGATTTTTTTTTTTTTTTTTTTTGCAGTTCACCATCTATGCCAGCTACCACCTGCTCATCGCTGTGGTTTTTTCTCTTCGGGGACTGTTTACCATTTGGAGAGAGAAGCAGAGGCGCAACAAAGAGTCCGACGCTCCAGTCAAAAACGAACCTCCAGACTCCGAAGAGCAGAGATTCTGACACCACCAGCTGAGACAATCACTTGTGCTTTTGGTCCCCACTGTGTCCAAGTGACCACGTGCCAATTTAAAAAGCATAAAAGCTTCAAATTACTGACTGCAACACCATGAATATAAATCTTTTCTTTTTTTTTATACAAAACAAATATACAAGATTTCCATACATCAGTATAAATGAATGGTTTGGTCATTTCTTCTTACTTAAAATTCATTTTAATATATATACTGTATATATTTACACATTAACTTAAAATTCTCTAATACCCAATGTAAGTGGTTTCCAGCTCATCAGCCTTTACCCACTTATGGACTGAGTG